CACCTCTCACTCTTTCTTATAGGATCAGTGTTGTTTATCTTTGTTCCTCTCATTTTTACTGTTGGTTTCCACAAACATCTTGGCTGCGTATTTGTGAACGAGTGCCTGCAGGTCCATCAGGCAGAGGCAGGGGCTGGCCCTGCAGCCTTTGGAAGGCGCGTGGTCCATGCTGATGGGGAGGTTTGGTTTACGTCAACAGTGCAGAGCTCGTGGGCAGGCTGGTGCACTTCAGTGACGTCCCTCACGGTCAGAACTGCCTTTCCTTGCCATTTCTTTCTGTCTCTCTGACTGTGTGGAGGTCTGAGCTCCCCAAGCTGCTCCCTTCTCTTTCAAGCATCAGCATCCACATGGGATTGGAGGCGGGGACGCCAATGGCCGGCTCCTCCTGAACGCGTCCCTCAGCTCGCCGTGCCTGCCTGTCACAGCTGCCCGATGGAGCGTGGGGCCGCCCCACCTTCACTGCGGCTCTTCTGCTCTGCATAACTTGTGGGCCCCAAAGGGAGACCCGGGCTCAGTTATCAGTACACAAGGCAGCTACTTGGACAATGTGTTTTTCCTCCTCTTCCCCAAGCCCAGGGCAAAACCTGACATGTAGATCATCACATTTCTAGCATTTCAATGTATGAAATGTAGTCAACATTCCAAGACTGGTGAAGCAAGGCCCCTGAAGGGAGGACCTCGTACCCCCCCCGAAACTCCAGAGCACTAATCGGGGCTGGACATACATACAGCCGACCCAGTAATGATGGTTCATGAGCAGTACAAGAAGCAAAGCAGTAAGGTATCCAAAAGTCAACACTGACATACATTTAGGTATTGTCATATTTGAAATGTGAGATGCATTATGAGCATATACTAGAAAATCAAGAGAAACATCTGAATAAATATTCCCACTAACAAGAGTTCAGTACGATGACTGGATATAAAAAATATAAAAATCACGAGCTTTCTTATTTCTTGCGAAGTAGATGAGATAATAGACAGCCCCCTTCTCCCCCGCCCCTCTCCCAAAAAAGATTAGCCTCACATTTCATCAAAAATTATAAACTAACAGAATGGATTGGCACGATACATCTAAATGAAGAAAAGTGTTAAAATTTTACTAAGGAATATATATATTAGGTTTGAATAAATTGGACAAGACTTGTGTTCCATGACAAGAAGCTCAATATAGTAAAGATGTTAGTTCCTCCACAATTAACTGATAGATTAAAAGCATTGCCAATTAGTCACAATGTGATTATTTTTTGGGGGAAGGAGGTTTCAAATTACTCTGAAGTTTATTGGAAAAAATAAATGAGTGGCAATAGCCAAGAACAACAAGAAAAAGAGAGTAATATTACTACCAGATATAAACTGAATCATAAATCTAAGACACTGTGGTAAATCCATATATGGTAACACAATGTGGAGACAGTAGGTCAACTGAATAGATTCTCAAGCCCAGAAACAGTGATTTCGATTAAATGAGCTAGGTGTATAATAAAGGTGCCACACACAGTCATAAGTAAACAGTTCGACAGAGAAAGGACAATTAGTAATCTATTTGAAAAAGGAGTTTAATTAGATTTCCTATTGTGCATAATTGACCCAAACAAATTAAAGGTAGATTAAAGGCTAAATATTCTTAAGAAAGAAACAATAATAAAAATGTAAAACTCAGAAATACATATATATGAATTGTGATCTGTTTTCAGGATTATTAAAGGCCTTCTAAATATCTAAAGTAGAAACTGCAGAAGGCTTATGATCTGATTATATATATATATTCTTGATTACATATTAAAAAGGGGAAAACCTCTATATGTAAATAAGACCATAAAATTTAAAAAGCAAATAATAAACTGGGAAAATACCTGCAGAACATATTATAAAGTGTTAATATCCTTAACATATAAAGAGTTCTTATATACCAATAAGAAAAAGATAAACACCCCTAGTACAAAAATGGGAAAAGATACATCTAAACAATTGCAATGTGAGAAATACCTGTGATCAACAAGCATGAGATGGTCAACTTTAGCATTAACTGAAAAAATCCAAATAAACAAAGTGTGAGGTATTTTTAGTATAGATTCCAAAAACAATAACAGCAATGCTAGCAAGTGTGTGTGGGTGAAATGGGTACTCACTTTAGAGATGGAAGGGTATTTGTATAACAAAACCCCTCTAGGAATTAATTTGGAAATGTGTACCAAGAATCTTATAAACGTTTATATCCACTGACTGAGTCACTTCACTTATAGACATTTATTCTAAGACAGTAATAAGTGTTATACACAAGGATTTAGGTACATGCACGTTATCATGTCTATGTAAATGAAAAAGTTACTAGAAGAGAAGGCACAGAACATTGATCTAGTCCAGTAACTGAGATAAGAAAACAAATAAAAAGGAAGAGCATAAAAAGAAACATCTCCATGTTAACTTGGACCTCCAGAACAAAACAGCAGAATTCAAATGAGCTGAGAAAGAAGAATACAGTTAAGTAGCATTTGGCAAACAGCTCTAAAATAGCTAAAATAATACCTAGTTTTAGGTCAAAGTCCACCACTTAAAATAACATCAACGTACTTCAGGTTAAATTTGCTGGGTTGGAATTCTTCACGTGAGTGAGCACCTACGAACAAGCGGACGGGGGGTCACCAGCCCATGACATCACCTGCACGCAGAGACGAGGATGCCATGTCCCTGAGCACCGCCACGACCACGAGGCACTTTCTTTCCCCAAAGTGGCACTGTGCCCCTGTGGTCATACCTCCGTTTCCCTACTTGTGATCTAAAGAAGATGAAAAATCCAGCAGGCTCCCTTTAAGAGGAATTAACTTGGCTGAGGGTTGGAAGAACGTGCCGTAATCAGCTGAGCGTGGGAGCAGGGAAAGGGATTCGGCACTGCCCCAAACCCTCCCACCCACCCAATGCGAGGGCATTCAAGAGAAAGAAATGGGCACTAAAGGAATGTTCCTTTAGCTGAGGCCCAGGACATGAGCTACTCCACGCATATGGTAAGGTTACATGGCATTCTGTATTTTCTGTTTACCAAACGTTACATTTTCCTGAGGAAAACAAGGGGCAGTTCAGCACCAAAGAACATAAGTCTCAAGATTAAAAAACTCAAACTCCAAACATTACATCTGCAAAACTCCTTCAAATCACTGAGGCTCTTCCCTCATTCTCGTGCCTGGCAGACTCCCATCCTTTCTTTACACCCAGCAAAGGCACCCCCCCAAGCCCTGAGCCTTGCCCCACCTCCTAGGGGAGACTGGACTCATCACCCCTGGGCCTTCAGGCCCCCTTATGTATTCGTACCATGACCTGCTGCAAAGCCCTGCCTTTACCTGTCTGCTGGTCTTTCTTCCCCACCAGAGGGTGAGATTCTCGAGAGTAGAGATGGTGTCTTAATCTTCCGTGTCCCCAGGGCCCAGGACCATGGGCATACATCAGAAATGCCTTAAATGTTTATTGACGTGAATAAATAAATGGATGGATTTGGCATGGTGGGTTAGAAGGAGAAGTGGAAAATTAGCTGGTTTTAAGGTGATGGCCTTGTGTATAAGTTCTGGAGATCAGGGTCTCCACATCCACAGCATACACAGTCCCTGGCACAGGACAGGTGCTCACTAAATATTTTTTGAATAATTAATAAATAGAAAGTAATGAAGACATCAGCTTTTCATTCAATACAGAACTCCCCCCACCCCCCGACCTACCCTGGGCACTTCTTTTCTCTCTTCCTATTTAGCACAACCATCCTGAAAAGGGAAATTTGATGTATGTCTTGGAAGGAAGGTCAGCAGGTCGTGGGAGACCTTATCACCATTCTGGAATGAACTGATGTCTCCCTTAGCAGAAAGCCCAGTTTTCTTTGGATTTTTAATAACAGCTGATGTTTGTATTATACTTTATGAGCTTCCCAAAACTTTCATATGTGTTTATCTTACCTGTCATCACATCTCTGTGAGGTAGGCAGGTCAGGCAAGATCGGCCTAACTGACCGAGTTAGTGGTCCAACGCCACTTGGTATCATGCAGTAGAGCCCCAGTGGACCCCAATTCTGGCCCCTTTCTATTACCCTGCTTTCACCAATCAACGCTGTGTATGGCACAGAGCCGTGGGGTCAGCACCATCCCTCTTTGAAAGCACCTGACACCTCAGAAGGGGAAAAATGCAGCAAAGACCTATCCCAGAAAGTACCAAAGGACAGTAATTTATTTTGAGAAGACTGATGTATGTCAGAGAGAAGAAAGGGACTTTTTGCTGGAGAAAACAAATCCATGTGTGGAAGTGTGTTAGAAGGAGGACTCAGGCCTTTTCTCTGATAAGTAATCACTCGAAGGTCAAAGCCAGAGGGCAACCATTTGCAAAGATTCTTTAACAAAAACGAACCGTGACATTTTGAATGGCCTGCAATTGCACACCAATGGCCAGAAATTTCTAAACACATCTAGATTTGAGAAAACACTTTTCTCTTATCCTGAATTAAAGAGCAAATTCTCCTTTCAAAAGAGAATAAAGAAAACTAAAGTTCTGTCAAAGAATGACATAAAAGTTACAATATAAAACCGAGAGAATTTAAAGTTGAGGTCCGACAGTTTCCTTTCAATCTTGCTCCAAATAGCTCTTCCACTTTCATCCACCACTTGGTCACTACAGATACACACCAGCCCGTGATACTCTCACAACTCATTTACATACTTTAGATGGCTCTTAGATCCTCAATCATATGCAAAACTCTATTTCCAACTACACAGCTCTGGGAAGACCTCGTGGTTGGTTTGAGACCGTGACTCAAGATGGCGCCACATGCTACCAGGCGGTCCCGGAACCACAGGCAGAGGGGAAACGACCACCCACAGAAGAGAAGAGGTTTCTAAACCTTAATGTACAATGTTAACGGTTCCAACCGCACTTCACCTCCGAGGCTCCACACTGTCCTGCAACCAGCCGCATCTACTGCTGCCGTCACACTGGATTCTTGCGCGGGTCTGCCATAAGCTTACCTGAATTTGGTGAGATGTGTAAACTGCTCATGTCCTTGGACAGGCCATTAGTTTTAGGGCTGGAGATGGGCGCGCAGGCCGACGTGGCTCGGGGTGGCCTCTTCCCTGGGACTTTCACAGTGGTTCTCAGAAGATCAATCTCTTTACCATGAACGTTCTGCATGTAATCCTGTTCAAAATGTTAAACATCCAAGAGAGATTAAAAAGAAAACCTCGTACAATCTAGGACACAAGGTTCTATCAGACACCACAAGCTGCAATCCTATGACCCTTCCACTGTGGCAAGCACTTTAAAAATAATGAGGTTTTGATCTGTCAAGGATGGTGGCATCATCAATATACTGAAATCACAGCCTCTGTGTCCTGAACTAGCCCAGACCCTGGAAATACAAGGAGACACAGGAAACGCTTCCATCGGGGGGATGACACACCAGCTGGAGAAAATAAGTATCCATATGAAATCATATTTTTTTAAACTGCTGCTTATTACATGGCACACTAGGACCTCAGGATCTTCCTCTAAGTTTCAGGTAAAATTCCATGCAATAGGAATATTTTGTAACAACTGTTCTGTCTCAGATGCCAATACAACTAAGTGCTTAGACAAGAATGAAGCTGTCGGTGGGAGCTCAGGTGGAAACTAAGTAAAAGGTCAAGCATTTCACTAAGGACCAGGAAAATGTCCGAGAGGTTGGTGGTATGGTGTTGAGAAAACACGGAGCTCACGGATGGATGTGTAATAGCTGGGTGTGTGAAAAGGAAAGAACATTGAGTAAGTCTCGTACTCGAGCATTGTGTTTCTCCAAGTGGTTCACTATACCCAGAAAAAGTATCTTGCTGTTCTCTTCGTGCTGGAGGTGAATGACCAGCAGCTAACAGGGAACCACGGGGAAGCTAAGACAGTGATAGTCTCCGTGGACGTCACCTGACAACATTTAAGTGTGGAGTAAAACAACACCCAAGGATTGGTTGCCGGGTGGGGGAATGGAGGAGGCAAAGGACAGCCAGGGTAAGGGGCCTACTGGTGAATTAGGAATTACTGGACCTCCAAATGCAATTTTTGGGCAAGGTGCCCTCTTGCCTCTGTAGACATATTAAATGGACCTCACACATTAAGAAAGGACGTATTCGAAAACACTCTTGGGTAAGTACCATCTCAAGTGTTTTAAGACTAAGCATGAAATGAAATAAACACATTCCTTCCTTGGCAGAATATTGGTAGATTCCTTTTAGAACACAAAGGAAAAAAGCCAATAAATGTGTAGTTAGTATAAACAATTAAGTTCTTAGTCCATGTAATTTCAGAACTGCCAAATGAACCAGCCTGTGGGCTGCAAGGGACCCAGGGAGGCTGGAAAAGTGAGCTGTTTGCTTGTAAATGCTAACCAACAGTCAAGAGATGCAGAGAGCCAGAGAAAGTTCTAGAAGCAAAGTGTAAGGGACAGAAGCTCCAGCCTGTGGGATGAGGAAAGTCAGCCTTAGTGTATCAAGGAAGCCTGAGGGGGCCAAGAGAGTGGCAGGGAAGCCGAGATGAGGATCCCAGTGGCTTCTGGGAAGTAGGCTGAGGATCTTTTAATTGTAGGAGAATGTTCACGTTCCAGCAGGTGAAGGGGTTGGGAATCAATTTCGGGTTCATCAAACAGCAGGACGACTGCTGACAGAAGCAACGATACAAAAAGGAAGCAGAAGCACAAGATTCCAACACAGGGGAAGGAACCCAAATGTGGGACCTCAGGACGGAGAGTGTAAGAAGAGGTGTCTTCTCTCTGCCATCAAAACCCGCTACATAAGCACTTGGGGGGGGGTCACATGGGATCCAACCCAGACTCAGGAAAGAGGGTGCAGGAATTCTCAGCAGAGGAGGAGGGCAAAAAGAGAAACTCCAGAATGTGAGTGGCCACGGTGGGGGAGATGTTCTGATGGAGAAACACACAACTATAGAAGATTCGAAAATCACCAGCTCAGGAGGAAAAGACGCTACAGGGTCTCTAGTGACTTCCTAAGGAGAGAACTCAAATGGCCAATTCTTGGTGCAGAATGAACGCTAAAAAGCCCACGCAAGGCTGGAGCCAGGAGGAACATGGGACCAAAGACCACTGGAGAAAGGATCCGGGGCTGCACCTAAGGGTGGGCAGATACAGATCAGCTCTTCACTGGGAGTGGGGAGGCCACTGTCAGCAGTTGATAAACCATCCAGAGAGATATAGTGGGGTCCACAAATCTGCTGTCAGCCATGGCAGCCCGGAGCAGAGGCCCCGATGCACCCTGACCCCACAGGACAGGCTAGCTGGCGTTCGTCTCTGCCATCTTGACAGACCCAAGACTCCACATGGAAGTCAAGGTGCTTGGGAAGCTCCCCAAAATACAATCGACCGTGAAAGAGCTACAGTTCTGAAAGGATGTGGACCAAAGACAGAAAGCTATTACCATTAAATTAGACTGAAGGATAAGACAGACTGGAAAAATTACAGGGAACCTCATGAATGAGCTTGGGGTGTTGAGGACGGTGAACGAAAAGCACAAGGGAAGTGATCCTTGGTTACTGTAGGGCTGAGGGTCAAGGTCATTTACAGAAAAAAAAAAAAAAAAAAGGTTGTTCTTAAACATATTTAACTTACTTCCATTAATATCCCCCGAAAATAGGCCAACCTAAGCTTCGTCACCGAAGTTAAGGCTTGTAAATAATGAATTCATTCTCGCATAGTAACTCTTTCAAAAATATCAACTTGCTGTAACTTTCTTCTTTAATGCCAATTCTTAACAAATTAAAATATAATAACAGGAGTGTAATTGAGCATTTATTGCTTATGGGCTCTAAAATGAGGCTAATCAGATAGTGACTAAAGCCTCAGCATGGGCTCTTTTAATAGGCACGTTTTAACATACAATAACCAGGATATTTTATTCAAAATTATTATAGAAATTGTACCAAGTGTCTGCTCTTTGGATTTGAATGCGGCAAGGGAACACATTTATCTTTGGCTCAGCATGGGCCAGGGAATCTGTTTTCTCGCTTGAGTTAGGCGCCGAAACTTCAGAGGAACTAGATCTAAAAAAACCAGGATATAAACTTGGCAATTCTTACAGTGCAAGCCACTAACATTTTTATAAACCTTACAAAATGCACTTCCTAATCCATAAAAGCCCTTCAACGTGGTGCTTCAGAAACAGGTGGAATGCAAAGGCGCGCGTATGCAGCTTCAGGTTTCCCCCAAGAGAAACGACGCTGAGTTTTCTGTTTTTGAAAGAATCCAGCCTTTTCATCTCTCCCCAGCTTGGTACTTGAGGAATTAAAGCTAGGACCACTAACCAATGTCGCCTCCTCAGAAGTGGGACGTGCCGCCCTACGGGTCTGAGGTAGGGACCTCGCTGGGTGAAGTAAAGACAGCAAGCTTGATTTTGATATGCAAATGTTACAGATAGTACCCTTCTCCTGTTCCTTGTAGAAAATGCTGATCGATGATAAAAGGGGAAAAAACCCTTTAACAAGGCATGAGGGTAATTCAAAGCCAAGTACTTTTAAACAGCACTTAACAAGTCCCTGGGGCCCACTCAAGAGCCAGGCCCCCCAGAGGTGTCATCTCCTGCCCCTCAACAGCTTGAAAAAGTAGTAATTGCAAACCTATTTGCATTTTTCTTCTCAAGTTGTCCGAGCTCGTCGTGCGGATTATTTTTTCCAAGCAGGTGCTGGAGCAAAGGGACCCGTTGCTGAACGTGCCGATGGCTCGGGAGCCGTGCACAGCGTCCCCCTGCAAGCCCACTCCTGCACCTTTGCATCCCTTGTTTTTTACCTCTCTCTCCTAATTATGTTGCATCTATTGCCGTACACTTAATTAGCTGCATTAATGTGATTTCTTTTCACATAGTCAAGCAATTAAGAGCTATGATTGAGTTTCATTCAATTAGCCTCAACAAACATGCTAATTGATGTCCCAGATGCAAATGAGGTGCAATGAGAGAAACCTGCTAGCAATTGAGAGCCGTGTCAGAGACCCACAGCAGCTTCCAGCTTGCTGACAGCAGCATGGCTTAACGCGGCTCCCACCTTCTGGGGGGCTGCCTTCAGAGAGGGCCGTGGAGTCATTAGTGCCGTGGTGTACGGGATCTCTCCGGATACGGAGAATTAATTGATTTGCGGCTGTACAATCTAGTCCTCGAGTCTCACGGTCCTGCGTTACCAGGACCTGGAGGCCATCAACTGGCTAACACGGTGCTTGGGCAGGCAGAGTAAGCCCTCACCCAAATACCACATGAGGCTACTGGAGCAACCCAGGAGTTCTCCCCAAAACTGCAGAAGGAAGGGTGTGGAGGTCTTGGCTTGGCCATCCCAGAGCCCTCTCCGTGCATGATGGCCTTACGGTTCTCAGTAAATGGTGAGTTCATCTTAGTCAGCTCTGGGGCATCTGGCGCTTGGACTTAAGCTCAAAATACAGCAATCCATCAATAGTCCCTAAAAATACTCTTACTATATTGATTCTCACTGCCTCCCATCCCGGCGTTACCTTTGGCTGTCTGCTGAAAGATGGGTTTGCTTGATGTGTTCACGGGGGTACCAAAAGCAGTTAACAAGATCTTAAAGCCAACCCCAAATGCAGAAATGGTATGACTGGCATCTCGGAATGAGAGCATCTGAATAAAATACACGGCTTTGCGACTCTACTTTCTTCTAAGTATAGATAACGCAATCAACACCGCTGTGATTTTACACAGACTTTTTAAACAGTATGAAGACTCTTCATTTCATCATTAAATGATGGAAAAAAAATCACAGAAATTTTTGTTCCAATTAGGTTTTGTTCCAGTTAAGTCCTGGTTTCTAATTGTACATAAGTGCTTAGAAATGTAATATATTAACACATAACACATTTTGTCTAGGTTAGATAATCATTAGCACAAACTGATACTTGCCATGGCCAATATATTGGATTTTTCCTCTTTGCATGACCTAGCTTGGCAGTCCTCAAGGTGTGGCCCCTGATACCCTATCCAGGGGTTCACACGTTCAGGGCTATTTTCAAAACATCCCAAGACACTGGTTTGCCTTTTCCAGACTTGAAATTTGTTTTTATGGTGACTAAAACTGCTAGTTCCAGAGCATATACCCAGGCAGTGGAACCAAACTGTACTAGTCCCTATTGTCAGTATTCATTGCCATGCTCTCTACATAAA